TGAGTGCTGAGGGAACTGGCAGATGTCATTGTACAGCAGTTCTTGGTACCCTTTGATTGATCATGACGACTGGAAGAAGTGCCTGAGGATTTGGAAGAGAGGAAATGTCACTCCTATCTTCAGTAAGGGTGGGAAGGATGGCTTAGGGAACAGTCAGCCTCACCTTGATGTGTGAGAAGGTGATGGAGCAACTAATCCTGGAAAACATTTTCAGAGACATGAAGGACAAGAAGGTGATTGAGAGTAGCCAGCATGGATTCACCAAAAGGAAATAATGCTTGACCAACCTGCTAAACTTCTGTAACGAAAATACTATCTTGGTGGATAAGGGCAAAACAGTAGATACTGTCTGCCTGGCCTTTAATAAGACTTTTAACACTGTCTTCCATAAGATCATCACAAAGGAGCTCTAAAGTGTGGGCTGGATGAGCTGACAGTGAGGTGGTTTGAAAACTGGCTCAAAAGGTGGACCCAGAGGTGATCAGTGGCACGGAGTCAGTCTAGTTGGAGGGCAGTAACTAGTGCTTTACCTCAGAGATTGGTACTGTGTCCAATCCTGTTCAACGTCTTAATTAGTGACCTGGATGACGGGGCAGTGTACCCTCAGCAAATCTGCCAATGACACAGAACTGGGAGAAGTGGCCGATAATCCAGAGGGTCCATCTAGAGGGACCCTGACAGGCTGGAGAAATGGGATGACTGGAGCCTCTTGAAGCTCAGCAAGTGTGAAGCCCTGCATCTAGGGAGGAGCAGCTTCAGAAACCAGTACATGCTGGAGACTCCTTTGGAAAGTGGCTTTGCAGACAACTAACTGGGGTTCTGGTGGACACCAGGTTGAACATAAGCTACCAGTGTGCTCTGGCTGCAAAGAAGACTAATGGTATCTTGGGCTGCATTAGGAGGACTGTTGCCAGCAGTTAACTCCTCCACACTGGTGAGGTCATACCAGTGATGCAGTATTGTTCTAAATTTTATAAAATAGTTATTTACACTGAAAGTATCTTGGGCTGCATTAGGAGGACTGTTGCCAGCAGTTAACTCCTCCACACTGGTGAGGTCATACCAGTGATTCAGTATTGTTCTAAATTTTATAAAATAGTTATTTACACTGAAAGTCGGGGTTTTTTTATT